TCTCATGCTGCTTTCCAGAAAAAGCATTTGATCTTTTCATAAATCACTAAACATCCTACACGTATAAGAAATACAAAATATCATCATTAAGATTATAGGCATACTTAATAAGTCTCTATTTGCACAATAATTGACTTTCTCATGAACATAATCTAAAATAATTTTCCAATCTTTAGATATTAGACATTAATTTATTAATGAGTCTCTTCATCAATGTAGCATTCTCTCTACTAAACTAATTAATTGTCTTCCAATTTTCAACCACAATATATTCTTTAACTATCTTTCATATAATCATAATTGCATATAATTTTTTTGATACTATATTTTGATTGCAAATTATACTACTCATTATAAGCCATATATTATTCAACTTATTATTGATCATATTTATACAGCTAAAGTGATCCTGTGCATTTGCATGATTGCATGTAACTTGAAATAGGTCACATTTTTTGCAATTTATAAATAGTAAAAATATCTTTATTTTTAAATATTTTATATTTGGTTCAAATCGAGGCAAAGGGGTGTGAAAATTAAAGTTGAATATGAAATACACCGTTCAATGAAAGATCAGTTTTCATGAAAAAGGTCTAAATCACTTAAAGGAAACTTTTAAATATTAGTTATGAAATTGAAGATGGAATCGGTTGTCTCATGAAAGATCAGTTTTGTGGATCCAACTTTTTCAATCCCAAAAAATTTAAAGAGAAAAAAACAAAAAAACTTTTTCATGTCTAAAACCACAGAAAATTTAGTTTTTGTTTGGTAATCGGTAATAGACTATTCATCACAAGTTAAAATCAGTGGGCCCAACAAAAGACAAACATTAAGTCATTAACATTATCAAAGTCGAATAAAAGAAGGGACACTGAGATGTGTGGTTGAAATAAGGAAGGTCTGGGTTCATTTCAACGTCGTGGCCCAAAAGAATTCAGAGGTTATTTAAGTTATATTCCTCTTTTTTTTTTTTTAAGTCTTACTAGGTTGATTAATTGGATATAGTCAATTGATTGCATAAAACTATTGATTTTTATTTTGACAAAAGATTGGGTAAAAAACGTTTTATTTTCAATATTGAGGTTTCAACTTTTCTTTTTGGTTTTTGTATGTTTTTACTTGAAACATTTTTTTAAAAAAATTGTTATTTAATTACATGACTCGTGCTTGTAGGAATTTTTCGAATTATTAATGAAAAACGTTTTTATTTGTTTTGGGAGAATTGTTGTAAGGTCTCACTCAATATAATTAATCACTCCCAAGTTCACTGAAAACTGAGCTTGAAAGAATAACAATGAATTTTAAAGTAATTAATTGTATTGAGTGAGATTTGTATATAATTTTTTCTATTTGTTTTGGCATTCATAAAAGTAAATGTACAAGATTTAGCATACCTCGATTGTTTTTATTTATATAAAAAAAAACTATGCGAGTAAGATATCAAGACTCACCAAAATAAAATAAATTTCAAGAACTAAAAAGTAGCATGACTTAAACGTCAAACATAGGGTGTGTAATTTAGGTAATTCTATGAAAGCAACACTTCATGGGGTATGAGTTGCATGCTTGCTCATTGGATTAATTTTTAAATAACAACGCACTTTTATTACTATCACCATTAGCACTACCACCACCATATTTGACGGTTTACTGCTAAAACTTTAACATTTACAATTTGAAGATCCTTATTGTGTATTAATTCTCTAATAGGGTCCTTAATTGTTATTTTTACTATAATTTAATATTCCCTCTTGTTTTTTAAAAAGAGTGAAAAAAAAAAGTGTAGTTGTTTTTCCCCACTTTCGGCCTGACTGTAACTGTTATATTCAAATCAAGGCAAAAAAGTATGAAATTGAATTCGTGAAAGTCTCAATCATATGTATGGGAAATTTTTTTAAAATTAGGTCATGAAATTTTTTTATTGTGCACAGTTATCCTTATACTAGAATCAATCATATTCAAAGCACAGTCAAGAGTTAAATGTAAATATATCTTTTAATAAAAATTTAAATATTAGTTCATCACGTGGTAAATGATTAACTCATTTTGCTAGCCTCAACCTTATTGGTAATTTAGGGTATTGAATTTTTTTTCCCTTATAGGTATCTTTCAATTGAAGGTAATTATGTTCAAGATATTATGAGACACTAAATGTGAATATATTTTTAATAGAAATTCAAATGCTGATTCACCGCATAAGGAATCAGCCTCTTCTACCAAATTCAGCTTCAATATTGGGTATAGAATTAAAGATGGAATTAGTTGCCCAATAAAAGATCAGTTTCGTTGATCCAACTTTTCAAGCCTAAACCACTTATAAAAATTAAGGTTTTGTGTGATAGTGAACTGTTGAATTAGAAATTACAATCAGTGGGTCCAATAAGACGCTGACATTAACCATATCAAATTCGAATAAAAACTTGTACCAAAAAAATTCTAATAAAAACTAATGGGATTAAGTCTAGTAAAAGGAGCAAGTCCTTCACAATATAAAAAAAATAATGTTCAAATTATTATTGGAAGAGACACATATTTAATATTAGATGGTGCTTCAAACAGAAATTGTTTTCGATAAAATGATACTTGTGGGTAACAAAATAAATTCGAATAAAACAATGTCCAAACTAAGAGACAAGATGTGTGATTGAACTTTTTTTTTCCCCCAACATTTGCATGGAGCAAATGAATCTTCAAATATACATCTACAGTACACTAATCTTCACAGGTGCACCTGTGCAGGAGAATTATTCTTTAGAATAATAATATTGGTCACGTCTCAAGTTATCCTTTTATTTAATTTATCTGTTACAATTTTCTAATTTTTTTTTTTTGCTATCAAACCATTTGGTTCCATATCCAATAATATCATCCTCACCTTTTTCTTTGCCTTTTTTTTTCTTCTTTTATTTTTTGTTTTGCCTTGATCTCATTGTCAATCGGGCACAGAAAAAACTTTCATCTATCATAAAGAAATTGAAGCAATTTAGAATAAAAGACAAAAGTTTCTATTATATAAAAAAATTTCATGATAAATGGGGATGCACAAAGTCCCATGTAAGATTAGGTTGACTATCATCCCTTTGATTAGAGGTATCAATTAGGGTCAGTCCGACCCTAAAAGGCTGGCCCTTCAAGGGTTAGGATCTAAATAAGCTAATTCTTTTAAGTCCGATTATATCTCAAAACTTTATTTTTAACAGTTTGGCCCTGGCCCTTAGGGCTGAAGGGTCGGCCCTCAAGGCCTCGGCTGTAATTATTTTTTTAATTTTTCAATTTAAAAATTTTAAAAAATATATTTAAAATCCTTACAAAGTTATTACACATCATATTAAATCTTGAAAAATAAAATAAAATTAATTCACACAACAAAAAATTTTAAGTCTGATAAAAAAATAACATCCCAAAATCAACTTCAATATCAATTACATGTTGGTAGCATCATCAGCTAAATTTTGATGATTTTCATTATCATCAATATCAATATAATTCGATCATTCTCCTTGTGGATCCTCATCAATGGCAAATATATTAAGCTTTTCATATCTTCTTCATCCTCATTATTTGCAATAAATAATGAACCAAAATTATAATTTCAAGGTATTTAAAGAATGCAGAAATATTTAAAGTAAGCAAATAATAATGTGCGTGTTTACTTTTTGAATTAGAGAACAAGTGCTGAGTTTAAGTGATGTGGTGTCTTTTTTTTTAATTTTTTATGTTATTTTTTTAAAAAAATATATTAGGGCTTGAAAGGGCTTGCCTTGACCCTAAAGGGTCAGCCTTTTTATTTTCGGGCTTAAAAATGCCAATCCTTTTAAGCCTGATTTACCTTTTTGAAAATCAAAATAGCAACTTGGCCCTCAATTTTTTCAAGCTTAAAAGAGCCAGTCCTACAAGCTTGGCTTTAATTGACGGTTCTACCTCTAATCTATATGCATACACCCAAGCCTAATCAGGTTGGCCCAGTATACAATATTAAGTTTGGCCTAGTCATACATAAATTATTAAAAAGTTAAAGGAAAAATATAACCATTAGTTCTTATACTTTTAGAATATTTTGGTGTTGATTTTTATATTTTCTTTTCGTTAATCCAAGTCTCTTAAGTTTTATTTGTCTGCAACTTTGGTCCTTACGGTCAATGATGGAATTAAATATATTGATGTATATAAAACTCTGTTAAGTGTTAATTCTATTGCCGAGTTGATAAGATTTTGATAAATTAGATGTTGTATGAATAAAATGATCACTGACCCTTTTTGCCTGTCCGCCCTAGTTGTCTATCTTCTTCATGTTGAAGCTTTATCCATTGCAAATTTAAGAATTGCGATTTATTGCTTGTTTTCTTTTTTTGCGCTTTACTTATTTTTTATCCATTTCATTATAATTTAACAAGTTAGCACAAGTACAATAAGTAATAAAATTTACGTACACATTTTTCACTAAAAAATTTCATGTACACATTAGTCAAAATTAAGTTCTTATAAGAAAAAGTTTAGATTTAAAAATATAAGGACTAATGTTGGAAATAGGTAAAATTTAAAGGTTTGTTTTTTTTTTTTAAAGGGACTAATACCAAAACATACTAAAAGTATAGGGGCAAATAGTTATATTTTCCCAAAGTTTAAAATAAAATAAGAAATCAATTTTATTTGTTAGCAAAAATATAATTCCTTGCTTCCAAACAATATTTGCTTAATTTAAAGAAACATTTTCTAAAATTTCAAATACTTAAATTATGCATTACTTTTATATAATAATATCAAGTTAAAATCATTTTAAAATTTTACACAAAATTAAAAGTTTGAATGCTCAAATTTTTTATGATGAGCATAAAGTCAATTTACAATTATGTATGATGTATTATGAATGATAATTGTGAAAAATTATAAGATAATACAAACTCATAATCTATCTAATCATATATATAAGTCACTTTGAACTACTTCATCTGAACCTAAAAAAATATAATTAAATTATTAATGTTATTATTTTATTGGATCCACTTGTTGCAATTTGTAATGAATCAGTCTACTACCATACAAAACTTCAATTTTTGTAAGTGGTTTAGGCCCTGGTCTTTTATTGGGCAACCAATTCCATACCCTAAGTTATTAATGGGATTGAATCTAATAGAAGTGATTAATCCTTCATAATGTAACAAATCCAAATTTGAATCCTTGAAAGAGATGCTCACATTTATTGCTCAACTATGCCTTGAATAAAATTCCCTCCAATAGAAGGGCACTTATGTAAGTCATTTTGAATTATTTCACCTGGATCAAAAAAAGACAGTTAAATTATTAATATTATCTAAAAAAAATTCCAATATACTTTGATTAAATGCAACATTTTTAAAAACATCTCCTCACATTCTTTTTAGTCCACACATGGTAAATTGTAAAAGGTAAAATTGAAAGAAAGTAATTAATGATTTATATTTTTTTATCCAAAGTGACCTTATATAGAATTGGAAGGGGCATGCAGACGAGACGCTATTGAGTTTAACCTCAACTCTCCGCCCAGCCTAGCCTAGTCTTTTTTTTTTTTTCAATTACCCTCAAGTATTGTCCTCTTAAAAGAAATCATGTTTGAGTCACTCTTGGATGCTAAATGTGAGCATTTCTCCCAACCTAGTCTTTTGGGACACAAACAAAAGCACAGAAATCAATGTAGAACATTGGAAATCCCCTTTCTGGTTGTCAGATTAAATAATCACACGTCTACTGCTACAGCAAGAAGAAGAAGAAGAAGCTCAGTGACACGGGTCATCATTTATGTACAATGTTGCTATCATTAAGGAACGTTAAATGAATGAATGATCAGTATTCTCACTTAGCTACGTAAAGCGACTATGAACTTTCTATACCCTGCCAAATTTTCAAACATCTCTGACCTTTAGCTTGATTTCTGAGCTTGGATGACCCTTCTTTGGACTTGAAGGAACAGTGCCAAACTTTCGAACCAGAATCTTGAAGCACGGTATAAATACTATGTACAGCGTTCCAATAATAAATGGCGATGCAACAAGCCACCCTACTATCTGCAGAAGTTCATCATGCACTATTTTTAGTATCAATAATAAAATATAGATAATGGGTGGAGGATCATTGATGAATTATGATGACATTACAATAATTAACATGATGTTAAGAATGGACCAGTATCATAATGCAGATTAATTGTCTATAACGCTTCATGAATAGTGAAGGTGGCATCATTCCATATTGTGATACAACAACAAAAACAAGAAGCCTAATCTCACTAGGTGATGTCAGCCACATGGATTGTGTAATGCCATTATTTTCTATTAGCAACTAAGTTTTTGAAAATATTGTTAACCAAAAAAATCTCATTCAACAATTTCTACAAGTTTTTTGGTCTTCCTTTACCTCCTCTTTAAGAAACTAACAAGGTCTCTGCCTGTCTGAGGTCATTTGCTCATAAAGATGCCATTTAAAGCTAAATCGGGGATTCACAGGTCAATATTCACGATTTATCACGGCCAATGAACTCCCCATCCACCAAAGGATTCTACCAAGCATGCAACACCACCGTTTCTTCCCAATAAACAAAGTTTATTCAACTGAGTCAAGATTCTTTTTCTAGTCACACTTTCGGGTCAGTGAAAATAAAGGAATAATATGATGGACCCAGCGTCATTGGACTTACGATATTGAAGACTTATAACAAAAAGAAGTGAAGTCAGAAAGAAGAGAATTGCGCCTGAAGGGAGCGAAGCAGTGGACAAGGTCTGAACTCAATCCAGAAGATCCAAGCAAAGAAGTCTTGCAACAAAATATGCAGCGAATCCTGAGGAAGAGAGTGAACCCACAGAAAGAGAGACGAATTGGTTCAAAAGGGAATATATTGTAAGGGGTCTGTCAGGAATGGAACAAGGAAGAATTGGCTGCTGATGGAGATTCTCCAGCCTTTTGAAAAAGCTAGAGGATGTCTGTTTCTTTCTCATTCAGCATTTTATATTTACCTTCTGTAAATCCTTGAATCTGTCAATTCTAATCTTTCTATGATTTGCAAAACGAATAAAGGCATCACAATATCAGTATCTGTTGGATTCCATCAGAGTGTCAAAAGCTATCCTCCTAAATTTCGTTAAAATCCAAAGGCACACCGCACACCGCGCACCACAATTGGTATAGAAGGAATCACAGTTAATTTTGTTTGTGTGTGAATATACATAACATATCTGTCTGTTTGATGCAGATGCAAAAAAATTGTTATCGAGCCTACCGCATGGGCAATGCTTGAGAAAACTTCATAAGAAGCTTGACCAGTTAGAACTTTCTTCAAAGCATCAGACGTCAAAGGGAAATGAGGTCCCCCGGAGATAACTTCACCGAACCGCAAAAAAGGCACAATGAGACTGAAAATGCCATAAAAAATTAAATTATAAATTAAAATCAGTGTTCCTCACTAGAAGAAATCGAAATAAAAACAAAATAGGTGAAACGTCCAAAAATAAGCCCCATGGGGCGCAGGGAGGCCATTACAAGAGAAGGGCCATAAAATTGAATACCTGACATATAAGGAAAGTGGAAAGAAATATGAGCATAATCAGGAGATATTTTGCATTCTCTCAAATTTTTAAAGAGTTCAAAACTTATACACTTGGCGCAATTTCGTTTAAACTTTTTTTTTTAAAGTAATTTTCAGACTGTCTAAAAAGAAAATTTGTTGTTTAAGGATTTTATGAAAAGCAGAAGTTATTCCATGCTTCATTACAATCATAAAAGGCATATTTTATTCGAATGTGCTTCTCAAAACAATCAGAAGCAATTCAGAATAGTTTCTCACAAGAATCAGATTTTTCTTAGATTTTGATTATTTTTCAAAATAAATATTCTAAAATTTCTCCAAAGTACTTTTTTTTTTCCAATAAAAAAGGAAATTTTTTCATAAAATAAGCTGAAAGAAATGGACCCTTATTCCCTGAAGAATTTTAATACAAATATAGATAAGGGTAGGGTTTGTATTTGGCTATAGGGACTCCCTAGCTAAATAGGATATGCCTATGCTAGAACTATTTGCTATGATTTTATTTGCACATGTTTTCTGAAAGTAAAAATTACATTGCAGCGTCCCCATAATCATCATGGTGTACAACAATGCATAACTATCTATTGTATATACATACACAATTGTCACAAAGTGTTCTAATGATGCAAATTGCAATCAACAATTAGCCTTAAGAAACTAAGAAATAAGAAACTCCTCTTTATAAAGACATACGGAAGTTGTTTACCATATATTTTGACAAAACACTTGAGAAAATAAACAAATCACCGAATCACCATTGCCATAAAAAAACAATACAAACGGATAATTTTGAATGTACAGCACCTCAACTCTATTGGAGTAGCGATGAAGTTTGCAAGCATTAAAGTTGGAGCATGACAAAGTGATCTAAGCAATGCAATAGCCATCCCACAAAGGAATACGGTGACACCTGCATCATAAAATAAGCTTGTATGTGAAACATAGTAAAACATCATAGAACTATGTCAGCTAATAATTATTAGAACTATGAAACTGCTCCTTGGCCATGAAATAAAACACAGTTAACATTGAACCATACAAATCTTCATTTTCCACGAGCTGCATCTCCCTAACTTCTGTAAAGTACTGTTTCGGATATTTCATATAACTGACTATGCAGATAGCTATCAATATTAAACCGGGGTTACCTATGTGCGATCATGCAAGACTAGTTGATTAGAGTTGGGAAACCAAAACTCACTCTAACTTACATTATGCAGTAGTTGTATAAGATTCAACTCATAAATTAGCATGGCAGCATCGATTCTAACCTTACTGAACAACTAGTTACTAATGATATAAAAAAAGGCACTCTATGCAGCAGCCAATTTAATTTTTCCATCAACTTGACAACCAATCCTATCATCTAGCATCTCCTCAGTTGGTTTGATGAAAAAGTTAAAATTAAAAAGTATATTTACTGTCACCACCCTCACTATAATACCTGCTAAATTTAAAATAAAATACTACTCATTTTGGCAGGTATATAGCCTTTTCTTCATAATTGCATCACACTTGTCAAACTTTAACATTGTCAATCAGAGGGAACACAATAAGCACTCAAGCAAGGTGGACAACCCTTCCTCAAAAATAACTCTGCTTAAATACTCAATTGAGCAACCCAAACATACTACTCAATACGGAATTTAGGCATCCCATGACCTTGGACCTTATCAATTGGCATCCCTTGTAAAACCAACAATCTAGTGGCAACACTATGCAACACTTCACTCAAACTTTATTAATCAAAACTTTCTACAAGTAGCAGCCAACCACCAGCTCCATTACCGAAAGATATGCACTCAAGCAAGGCAGAAAACCCTTCTTCTAGCTAGTGAGATGGGAAAACCATTTTATTTAAGCATTCCATTGAATAATTCATATTACTCAATACAAGGTTTAGACATCCATACTGCTTTCCAATCAGTTGGCTAACCCTTAGAAGGCTGACATCCTTACAGCTATACTTTGTGACATTTCACTCAGCCATCCACTAGTCAAAACATAGAACCCTTCCTGTAGCAACTGACCAATAGCTCTCATACCAAATGATAGGCGTTTAAGCAAGGTGAATAACATTTTTCCCAAAAGATAGCTATTAAGGTGAGAGCTGCCTAATTTAAGAACCCATTGGGCAGTCTATGTTACTTGATGTAGGACTTAGGTGTCTCATATTACCTTGGTCCTCGTTAGAAGATCAACAAAAGTTCAGGGAAGTTTCTGAGCATGAAACTAGGACACTGCTTCCTATCATGCAACTAAACAACATGAATATTGGTTACAAGGGAAAAATTTCTAATTCCAACATAATGAAGATTGTTTAGTAGCAATGAATAAGAAGAGACAATAGAATGATAATGAATATCCGTGTAACTAATGGTCTCATTCAAGTAATTCTGTCATGCATTTCACAGAAATTAACTTTTCAAAAATCTAGAAATGCGTAATAATAACGTACCACATATAGGAAATATTCCCAACGTAATGCCAAGAGCAGCTGAGAAAGCCAACTGTTTTGGCTCAGCACCTCTGAACAAAAATAGAGAACATTAACTAACATGTAAAACCAATTGCTGCTGCCTCTGAAGCCTCATTGTTGAAAGGATATGAGGCATAATATCATAAAAATAGATTTCCAAATTTTTAACGATCTCTTCCATGAAAAGATTTACTTTTCAACTTAACATGGAAAAAATACTGTATGTGTGCCAAAAATGTTGTAAATAAAGTACATAAAGTTATAGGAACTAACATTAACACACTCGAATTCTTTCAGTACAATAAGCAATGAATGCCTTTAGTCTTGACACAACCAAACACCAAAATCAGGCAAGTGAAGTTCACTAGCATCATTTACAAGGAAATTATATTATGGAGTCCAGAAAATGAAGGCCCCCATTTCATTTCCACATAGAAAATCAGTAAAATGAATGAAAATGAGAAACAGTTAGTTTGTGCTTTAGATGTCACTAGGCAGACTGGTGCATATACTGACCAACTTAACTAAGAGTCTTCATCACAGAAAGCCAAGAGATGAGGAAAAGAACTACATAACACCAAATCATAGACCACTTGGAACTCCATTCCACGCCAACTATTAAAGGAGAGATTTCTTGGACCAAAATCCCTAACTTCGGGAATGAGGGTGTTACCAAATACAGTACAAGGCAATAGAGGCAAGACAATGGGCAGCCTCGTTTACTACAAACCCAAACCACTGAGAACGTACTGAAAATCTGAAACGCCAACAATATGATACTCTGAGAAAGAATATAGTTGCACAGTAAGCTGGTTATCTCATGGAAGCACCAATCCACCATCGCAAGCCAAACAAGATACACCAATACGTTTAGAGAAACCCAAATGTGTTTTATATAGTTTGAGCTTCTGTCGCAGACAACATAGTTTCAGTGAAATCGGGTTATACTCTAGATTGTTGATATTCAAATAAAGCGGAAACAAACAAAGAATGACAGTCGAATCCCACGAAAATTAGTTATAAGAAGAGAACTACAAACGAATAGTAGTATATCACCGCTGAAACGTGAGAACTGTGAATTACAATTTGGGAAGGAAAACTACCTGCGAAGAATCAGAAGAAGAGGATCAATTATTTTGTTTTGGAACCAATTGGTGAGACCCATACTTCTAATCAGAATCCTGGTCCAAATCCAAGCGAGTTTCAACTAAATTGAGAAGAAATTTTCAGAAACCCCCAGCTTTAAAAGTTCTTAATTCTACAACATTTTTCGATTTGCCTTCTCCGATAAGCAAAAAACATGACGTTAATGATATTCAATTCAATTTCATTGATCGGAAAACAGATGACAGATCCAAATCTTCGGATTCATGAGTTTACACGTCTTCGTTTGGGCAATTACGGTAAAAGGACCCAAATTTCGTAAATATAATAATAAAAAGAGAGAATTGCATTCAAGGCCCTTAGAAGGAACATATTTACAAATAATACCCAAATGATTTTGCAGATCCAAGGGTTTCATTTACAATTATGTACATAACTAAAATGACCCAATTATCATTTTTCTTCCTCTGTCTTCCTCTCTTGAAATACTCTTTCTACTTATAGTGGTTAATGCCTTATGGCTATAAGTACTCTTGGTTATTTACATCTAATTCATTTTGTTTCGCAAATGCAAACTTCTAATGAGAAAAGTAGGACTTGTTTAGTAACTTAATTTGGGAATAGCTTTCTAAAAAACAAAAAATATTATTTGATAACATATTTTTTGAAGGAAACAAAACCAAATAATATTCTAAAATAAAAAAACAAAAATATCTTTTAAATATTTTAGAATTATTATTTTAAATGACAAAGGAGTATGCAAAAAATGCATGTGTTTATTTTTATTTTTATTTTCAGAACATGTTTTACAAAACATTAATTTTTATAATAATAAAAAAAGTGGTTTCAAACAAGCCCATAGACACTTTTCAAAATATATTTATTTAGGAAAATTGCATTCAATGCAAAGTGGCATTCTTTCTTAAAATATGTCTAATACTATGTTTGGATGCACATGAATTTAAATTTAAGTCAAATTTATTGTTTGGGTAATTAATAATGTAAATCCAAATTCAAGTTTTACTTTAAACTCTTTATAATTTAAAATCCTTTGTTTCAAATCTTAACTCAATTTCTTTTGTAAATTAACCCAAATTTATAAAGGCTTGATCGGCCCGCCAATGATAACAAGATCAAACCGTCAAAATTGATGAAAACAAGCTGCCACTGTTGTTCGGGATGGGACAAGCAACTTCCACCGGATCAAACTGATGGTGACGACCAAAATTGGATGACTGACTTCTATCAAGATCGAACTAGTGACAATGATGGGTATTAGAAGGCCAACTTCCATGGGGATTGGACCGACAACCACAATCGGGACGAGATGACCGACTTCTACTCAGATTAGACCAACAGCGACTGCAATGACGGGAAAAGGGTTGCCAACTTCCACTAGGATTGGACTGATAAGGATTAGGTGGCTGACTTCTACAGGACCAAACTAACGGCTACTATTGGGATCGGACGGTTAACTTTTACTAGGTCCAGTCTTGATGGAAGTCAGCCGTCCTATCCTGGTTGTCATCGTCAGTCTGATTCAATCGTCCGATCCTAGTCGTCACAGTCGATCTAGTCCGGGTGGAAGTCAGTCATACAGTCCCCATCGATGCCCTTGTTCTGGTCTTGATGGAAGGCTGTAATCCAATCTCGGTTAGCACCGTCAGTCCTATCCCATTGCGGTCCAATCCTTATCATCGTGTCGATTTTGTCCCAATTATAGTTAACCATCTCACCTTGATCGTCGCCGATGCTACAGTCCTATTCAGCTTTGATTGTTTGATCCTGAGGAAAGTTGGCCATGTGGATTGTTGATTTTGACCAGTCATCTAAGTTTTAAATTTAAATATAGAATTTAAAATTTAAAATTTTACTTTAGATTCAAACAAAATATTTTAAATATTATAATTTAAAATTTTTTATATCATCTAAATAAAAAAATTTGAAATTTATGAATTTTAAATTTAAATTCTTAACTTAAATTTATCCATTTAAACGTGACCTAAATGAGTTTGGTTACTTGTTGTAGAATATTGGAATGGGTCGCAAAAGAAGAGGAGACTTCACATGCAAGGGTGCAAGTAGTAATCCTAAACATGATGAGTAAGTCTCTAAGTAACAAGAATAAAAGCATCTATTTGTTCAACTTTATCGAGCATAAATTTATATCAGAAATTCCAATGAACTATCAATTCTTAAATTTTCAACACTTTTATTAGGGTGTAAATATAGGTTTAAATAGCTAATGAAAATAATCATACTTTGATTGTTATTTACCAATCTTCTATTATACGTTTGATCTGAATAATTTATAAATTTCCTCTTGTTCAAATATAAACCCCCTATGGATGGTTGTATCTAAACAAATTTTTTATTCTAAATAAATGAATTTTAATTGTTATTTAGGGATCTTCTGTTATAAATTATTCCTTAACCATTTTATAAATATGCACAATTTAACAATGTGATCAATCTATACCACTATTAAATCACATATAGTAACTACTCAAATTTTGTCAATTCCAAGTGCAAATATCAACCACAAAATGTCACATACTGACAACTCTAGGTTCGGATATTTATAAGTAAAAGTCCATAGATTGACATGCCTTAGTTCATAATTGATAAGTTCATACATTGATAAAGTTCAAAAATTGACATGTATCTGTTTAGATATTAACAAAGCATGATTCGAAATTTACAAGTTCAAATATTCACAAATTAATAAGATTCATAATGTGACAAGTAAAGGTTTAGATGTTTTACAATTAAAGGTTCATGTATTGACAATTTTAAATTCATATATAATAAGTAAGTATTATTTCTTGACAACTCCATATCTTTTGGGGAACTAATATTCTTTATTCAATATGTAAATATAAATGCAAATGCAAATGGAATTAGTATTATTTAGGATTGTGTGAACGTTGTCTTAAGTTGCTTTTTTTTTTTCTCACTGTTGTAAAATGTAAATTATAGGGCAAAAATTTTGGAGAATGGACCTAAAAGTTGTGAGGGGGAATAATTGGACTTTGATTATTCTTTATGAACCTTCTATTGTAAAATTTTTTTCAATTAACTTATGCTGCTTATCAATTATCAAAACCATATGGGCATGATCGATGAACATCTTGTTGAAAATGATCAGACTTTGATTGTTATTTATGGATAGTCTATTATAAATTTCATTTAAGTATCTTGTGAAAAATATAACAAAATTTTTTCACTATAATTTACATCTTACAACACTAACAAAAAAATCTACTCGAGACAGCATTGACACAATCCTAAAATAATCCTAATTTCATTTACATTTACATGTTGGATAGCATATTAGTTCTTAAGAAGATATGAAGTTGTCAAAAAAAAAAAAAGAATCATTGCTTGTTAAAATGTGTACTTGAAGTTGTCAATATATAAACATCTAACTATAAAAATATGAACTTTTAAATGTTAATATGTAATTTGAAACGTGAATTATAAATCTAAGAACGATTTAAATTATAAACTTTTAAAAGGTACATTCTGAACTCTAAATAATTAAAATTGAGACAATTTCAATCCCACTATTAAATTTAAACAAATGTTTGTCAGTTTTTTAAAAAATGAAGCTTGATATGCGATGTTTATCAAATTAGGGTAGGAGAGAGGGATAGTGAATTTGTTCAAATTTAGCGCAATTGCCTCAACTTTAATTGTTTAGGATTCAAAATGTACCTTTTAAAAGTTTAAAGTTCAAATCACCTCTGGATCTATAGTTCAGGGTTTAAATCATATATTAACCAAACTTTTAATTGTCACTTTATAAACCTTAACTTGAGAATAGCTAAACTAAAGCTTGTCAATGTATGAATTTTTACTTGCAAATAATTGAACTTAGACTTGTCAACATGTGACCTTTTTTTGTTAATATTTGAACTCAAAGTTGGCAAAATCTAAGCAATTACTTTATGTGATTTAATAGTTGTGTAGATTGATTGCATTGTTAATTTCTGTAGGTTTATAAAATGGCTAAGGAGAAATTTACAATAGAAGGTTTATAAATAACAATCAAAATTTATTTATTTACAACAAAACATTCATTCAAGTACAATGGACCATTGGGGTTTATACTTGAATAAGAAAAAATTTACAAGTTACCCTAATGAAATGTATAATAGAAGGTTTATAAATAACAATCAAAATCCAATTATTTTCATTAACCATGTAAGCTTATATATGCCCCTAATAAAAGTGTTGAAAATTTAAGAACTAATCATTCATTGGATTTTCTAATACAAATTTGAGCTTGATGAAGCTGAATAGATAGATGCTTTTGTTCTTGTTACTTGGAGGCTCACTCATCATGTCTAAGATCAATGCTTGTACCCTTGCTTGTGAAGTCTTTTGTTCTTTTGCATCCCATTCTAGTATTCTGCAACAAGTGACCAAATTCATATAGATAGTGGCAAATTTAAGACCTTTAGGTTAGGGGAACAAAAGGACAAACTATTAGAATTGAAATTTAGTAGGGTCAAAATATTAAAACTAATGGGGTCAAAAACAATAGATTTTACATACCTTGCATGTAATTTTTGTAAAAGTGAGTGGAGATAAGTGCCTACCCTCACTACAATGTAGGTTTATTACTGCATATAGATCTATTTGAAGAATGAATTTCACTTTATATTGAGTGTAATTTTCCTAAACTATTTTTTTTTGGATAGTATTTACCTTTCTTTGAAGTTTGTACTTGCAAAACAAAGTGACCTAGAGCTTATACAAATAACTAAGATGCTGGAAGTGCTTATGGCCCTAAAGTATCGACCAACTTTGAGTAGAAAGAGCAAATAACTTCGAGTAGAAAGAGCAAATTGAAAGATGAAGAGAAAGAAGGAAGAGAGAGGAAGAAAAAGAGATAGAAGAAGGGTAATTAGGTCATTTTAGCTGGGAACATAATGTCAAATAATGTCTTTGGGCCTGCAAAGGCATATCATAATCATTTGGGTCCTACTTACAACTATATTCCTTCTAAGGGTCTTGAGTGCAATTCTCCCATAAAAAAGAACATATTTTTTACGAAAAGGAAAAAAGAAAAGATACATTTTTTACAAGGAGATAATGAGGCTATACAAAAAAATAGGAGAATTACTTTGAAATTTCAGACAATATATTTACATATTATAAAATTTATCAATAATTTTATAGCATTTTAATATGTTATGTGAAACTTATATGTGTTTTTTTAAAAAAAATAAAAAAAATCTATACACCTATTTATTTATTTATAT